CATCCTCATTTTGTACAGGTCAGCTGCTTCCTGCCCCTTCCCTGTCTCCAAGTACCTGTACCATGGGGAGTTCTGGACAGCTCCCAGTGCCTCAGATCTCCAAAATCCCAGGCTTAGCTCTTACAGAAATATTCAAACTGCTTTGTTCCCCCCTGGTGTTTTGTGAAACTGTTTTTCTTTACCTTTGTAACACAGGTCATGCTATGTTACAAGCAGGAGGTTTTTACAGGCTTGCATGTTCCAGCAAACAGAGCTACAGTCCTTGCTAAAATGTAGACTGTTGCTGACTAAACTGCACCAAAGTCACTCTTTCATAGACACTCCTGATAACAGCAGAGGCCAGGAACGAACCATTCGCAAAGACTTGTCGTTCTGTTTTTCAGTTTTTAATTATTGCTTTTGAAGCTGAGGAGAAGGAAAAAGGAAGAAAGACAAAGAAAGGCCTTGAGGCAAGTGAGAGGCCCAAAACTCCTGCATCCCAGCCAGGACCCCAGCGTCCTGGGCTTCATCCCACTCTGTTTATCATTGCTCTGTAGCCAGCCCCAATCTAGGACCTATTGTTAGGGATGGAAGAAGCACACAGTGTGCCAAAGAAAATGTTCTGTGTTTTTCTGAGTGCCTGAACATAAGTCAGCAGGATGCTGGGAGCTGCCACACTAGACAAAATCATTAGTTACTATGCCAACTACTTTCTAGCAGCTGGTGCCCACCAAGGATTTGTACTGAAAACTTCCTAGACTTGTCATACCATCTGAATGCCCTGCAGGAAAGAAACTACTGCCCAAGGTTGTCTTGTGTTCTGTGGCAAGGTGGGAGCACTGATTTATAAATGCACTGGGTTCCCTTATTGCCAGCAACGGCTCTTGTTCCTCCTTAGCTCCAGCCTTTACAGAAAAGGATGCAAAGTAATTTTGTTGTCAGCTTGTTTCCTTTGTTTAGTAGGAAAGTAATATTTTTCTCAGTTTGCTAGACCTCCAGACATGCTGATTTCTGCTGTGATCCTATCAGTTCTCACAAACTGAAGTTCTCACAAAAGCAGGGTTAAACAGAGGAATATTCTTCATGAAGGCTGAAGTTTCGTTTACACAATAATTTAAGCCTAGTTTGCACTGCTTTCTATGGGATGTAGACACTTTCCAAGTATTTCTAAAGTGCCTGCTTAGTGAGTGATATATGGAGAACACCAGTGCACTTCATGAATTGGTATTGTTGCCTGCCACGCAGGAATTGGTATCAAGCAAGTGCCCAGCTGTGCTATTGGAAGAAGGCTTCCAATGAGATGTAAGCCTGATGTCTCATTCTTTTAGTACAGACTTGCTGTTTGTCCTACAGTTCTCTGTAACTATGAGATCCTCGGAGACTGGTGTTCTGGGGTCTGAACTTTTCTACAACTTCAGTCCTTGGAATTCTCTTCAAATCCTTTTGAAATGGAAACAGAAGCCAGTTCTCTCCTTTCTTGTAAGAGCTGATACTCGTATCCATTCTGTATGGGTCTGGATTTCATAGAGATCTTTTTTGCTGCAATCAGTGAAAAAATGCATTAATGTTTTATTGGTATTTTAGTACACTACCATTAGTTTCTAGTACAGGTGTAAGTAGTTGATTGCATAAAGGCTGCTTACACCAGAAAAGGGCTAACAGATTGGAAAATGGAACTAGAGTAGAAAGGGAGTTTGGAACCAGGAAACCTGGAGATGAAAGTATGGTATTCTAGCACTTTGGACTGGATCCCAATCGTAATCACATGGTGATTTGTTGAAAATGGTCTCACAAGCAAACCTGTATCTTTTGTGGTACAAAAAACTGCAGCAGAGAGGTTTTATGCTGTTAGTGATTTGGAAGAGAGAATTCTGGCCCAGCCTTTATGAAAACTACAGTTGAAAGAAAGGAACACAGTGGGTTTCTTGCCAAAAACACTGAGTAGCCTGAAGAGCTGCTGGAAGGACAGAATCTTGCTTACAAAGGATGGGCCATAATGCCAAAGGCTGAGATTTCCTGTGCATAGTGAAGGCCTGAATCCTGGCCAGGTCTCTAAACTAAGCAACTCATAAATAATTCTGAGCAAGCTGTGAGAAGATTGCTCACAACCAGCCTGGCTGACAGAATGAAACCAAATCTTTTCTGGTGGCACAGTCAGGAATTTCTATTTCCCATTTGCATGTGTGTGCATCTGTGCCTAAATCTGTTGTCTGTACATATGAAGAAATGAATATTCAGTCATTACTGTTCAAGCATTAATCCTGAATTGAAAACAAGCAGGTCTCTGAGTACTGACTCTACAAACCTCACTTCTGTTAGGGGTGTGGAGGGGTTTTTTCTGGTTATTTTTGGCTTTGCTTGAAACAGTGTAAGTTTTGAGAAAGCTTTTAATCCAGTTTGGGGTATTTATACAGTCTTCTTAATGAGTGGACTCTTTAATACCCATTAAGGTGTGAGGTCCTCTACAGCTGTTTTGCAGCCTTCATTATGGTGCTGAACTGGTTATAATTTCCTTAAGCAGAACTAATTTCTGCTTCAGGGTGCAGAAGTGTTGTCATGCTTTAATAAATCATCCAACTGGCAGAGACTGAGGATAGGAGATGCTCCGTGACGCATTCCCGTGAGCATGGCAAACCAAGCTGGAGCCAGTCTTTGGCAGCAGTGTGTTGAGTCTCAGATCTGAGCCTGTTCTGCACCAGGGCAAACATAGCCTTAGATGTAATATCAGCACTTGATAGCATGTTATGTGGGGACTTAAAAAAACTTCAGATGAAATATCTCAATATGAAAGTGATCCCAGGACTGGCAGATATAGTTGCTGTTGTCAAGTATTGTAAAAGTATTGCTATTGTCAAGTATTGTTCTGAAACATAATGCATAAATGCAGAATGATGCATTTACTTTGATTTCTGTCTGTAAATAAGGAAAACCCATAGAAGCCAACAGAAGAAGGATTCTGCAGGCCAGGAGGATAAAATCTGCTTAGGCGAGCAACAGTGTTTTCAATATAGTGTCTAGAAAAAAATGTGTTGTTTTGCCATATGGAGAGAAAGTATTGGAACTGCAGGGAGTTGTGTACAAGATTCTGCCACAAGAAAATCTTAGCCAAAGTTATGTGGTTTTGTTTGGTGCTTTTAAATTTAGTTCTTCCTAAATGTTTAATAATGTAGTTTCAACAGTGCTTTCCTGGGTAATGTAAGCCAAGTTTACCTGGTCAATACTATGTCCAGTATATTGAAACTGAAAAAGCTAATTAAAGGAAGTTAGTGAGAGAATTGGAGAGTTCATTAAATTGGACAAAGATTGGAGAAAGGCAGCAATCTTTGGTGCATTTTTAAAAAGTCAGACTTAAGTATTTGTAATTTCATTAGTTAATCCTTTGCTAGATACTTCAAAACAGAATAAATGAGACTTAGGGAAATGTTACTGAAATGTTACCATTTAGATAGTGGCCCACACAGTCCTGCAGACTGCAGTGGTTGCACATCATCTCTATGGCACAAAATCTGGCTATTGGCAGGTCCAATTTTAGTGGAGTTGTTATTTTTATCAGTTTTGTCTCCTCCATTTTGTCTTCACTGTTACATTTTAGAAGTAATCACTCAATCCTGAGCTTTGTAAGCATTCTTTTGTATCAAAGAATGAATTTTATACATTGCAAGTTCTGAGCTGGAGGTAGATATGGGAGAAGTTGGAACAGATATTAGTTTCTAGAATGGATAATATAGCTTGAATAAATATATTAAAGAATGCTTGAGTGAATTATCTTATTTCTGAATGTTTTAAGGGTTTGCAGTGACAAAGCTTTTGGGGGAAGGAGCAACATGTTCAAGGCAAGCTGAGATATGTTTAAAGAATCTAGGTTGTAAGGTGTGATAGGTTCCCAAAGCAAAGACATTGCAGTTAACTCCCTTGCCAAAACTGTGACCTACGCTCAAAATTGTGTAGGTCCTCCAAAAACTCAAAAAATTATCATTTATGTCACAGTTATGTATGATGTAGATAGGAAGTACAAGGGTAGCTTGGCCTGGGAATCCAGAGGAAATATTTGGAAGGAGTGGCTGAGAGAAATATGTCAGAGACCAACAGATACTTGGGAAGCTCAGGCATTGAGGCTTGAAGGTTATATTAGCCAGAGTGTCAGGATTCAGTGGGCCATACAACATCTGTCCTGTGAGCACAGAATGTGTGCATTGCTGGGCCACTGTAGCCTCTTCAGGACACCTCGTGGTCCTGTCAGTCTGCCACCTGCTCTCTGCAAAGCCCCTCAGCCTTGTGTAGAAGTCTGTTGGTGCTGCCTTCTCGCCAGGGCTTACAAACTTCAAAGCAAGCTAGTGAGCTTGTGTTGGTACTTATCATGTTGCAGGCCACAGCTGAACTCCTACCATGTAAGCCTGGGCTGCATGAGCTCCTGTCTCTTTGCAGGAGGCCTTTTGTCCTCTAAGAAAAGCTTGCATTTATCTGAGGATGAAAGAAATGAGCCTCTCACTCTCCCCAAGCCTTCTGTATTGTAACTATACAGAGTCAGTATGTATCCTAGTTCCAACCTCACCCTTATCCTCTCTGGATGTTGTACTGCATGTCTGTTTCTATTCTGTTGTCACTGCAGCATGCATGTGCTTAGTGTAAGCCTTGTGTTACTGTATTAAAGCCTCTACAAATATAAATAAATTATTATCTCATTAGTGATGGGAATCAGCTTTATCTTCCTGCTGCTATTCTGCCTGTCTTCAATGGTAATCAGCCACAGAAATGTTCCAGTTCAGAGTTTTTATTCTCCTTTCCTTTTTTTCTTCTCAAGAGAATGTCTAGTAATGTAGTCCCAGCCTATATTCAAGAAAGTGCTTAGCAGGAAGCAGTTGGCACATGACACTTCTAGCAGGTGTTGTGCTTGCTAAAGCCACCTGATACAAATTCATAGCTGGCTAAATATGAAGAGATTTCTTTGAAGCAGCAGTACCTTATAGGCAGGAGTCCTTATGTGCAGAGTAGTGAAAACATGGTAGCTCTTCTTTCCTCAGGGCTCCAGAGAATCATCATTTTGCCTTGGAAGGAGAGATGGACAACAGTGCCTACAAGGTGACACGGGGTCCTCTGGCACATCCCAGCTATCAGCTTCAGTTTGCTGTGCAGCAGCTTCAGCAGCAGAAACTTCAGTCAAGACAGCTGGTGGAGCAAAACCAAGCACGGCAACAGGTAACTAAGAAAAATTCCTGCCTGGGATGTAGCAGCACTGACTGAGTCTTAGGTGTGAAAACAAACCCAGAGACAGTACAGATGGCAGAGATTTTGTCAAGGAAGTAGCTCTTAGTGGGTTGCAACAAAACCAGGATTACCTGCAGTGATTTTAATAGCATTTTGATACTGTGTTTCCCAATAGCTTCTTCCATTATGTTGGCATCTTAAGAGCTGGAGAACCTATGAAAAAGGGCTGGATGACTCCTAGATGCCAAAGGTGGACCACTGTGTGTGGAACAGCATTTTCAATCTGCTGGGAGAAGCTTTCAAGGTTATAATGACTTAAATGATAGACTTGTTACCTTACTTTGTTATTATGGAGAGAGAGAAATGTATTCTGAGTGATGTCCAAAATGCTTCCCTGCTAAAAGGAAGGAAACCTTTGGGTGATCAAACCTTCATTCAAAACAACTTGGTCTCCAGTAGCAAGGAGCTGTTTGTTAGCAATCTGGCATGACTGGACTCCCATGAACAGACCTAACATATGGAGGTCTGGACACTCACTCTCCCTCCTGTGAAGCAGATGAGTCATTAGTCAGGGCCCTTGAGAATAGGTTATAGACAAATTGCCCTCATCCTTTTCTGGGAGTATCTTGAAGGAGAGGCCCTTGTGCTTTTTGCTCCTTGCTCTCCTCCTTTCAAGGCCCTTACTTAGCCATTAGTTACCATCCTCAACTTCTCTCACCTACAGTTTACTTGCTCTCGCTCCACGCAGGAGGTCTTTCTTTCATCTCTGTTCACTGGGCTTTGGGTGGGCAGATGTGGCTGCTCACAAGCTCAGGAAAGGGCCATAAACTGGCTTGTGCCTGTGAGGAGGCTGGAGCTGGCCATGGGGCCTGGCTGAGCCCTCTTCTAACTGCTGACATTGAGCTGATGTTATTCTTGGCCTGGGGCAGAGCCATTACTCAGGGGTTTCTGTTAAAATGATTCTTTGTTAAACCTCCTCTCACCCCCACAACATTCCCCCTCCTTTCTCTCCCTCCCTTCTCCTTCTGAGCCAAGCATTTTGGAGTTGCTGTGTTGAGGTTATTGCCATGCTCCAGGACTCAGGCTGCACTGAATTTGATGTTATTGAAGAAAAATACTTGCTGAACATGGGGGCCTTCAGACTTTCTGTCATGAATAAAAGGTCATCTTAATAAAGTGATTGTCTCTTGGACACTTCTGTGCAAGACACTGTATGGAGCCAGCATCCCTCCTCTTCCAATAATAGTTGCGTCAGTTCTCTGATGCCCACCCTGCCAGTCATGATACTACCCTTGCCTTCCCCGGCACCCTCTCTAGCTTTCTGTCACTGACCTCTTCTTTCTGCTAGTTAGCTTCTCAGACTTTAATCCTTTAACTTGGCCTTTATAAGAACTGCCTTCTCTTTTCTGCTGCTTATGCATTCTCTAACCTACATCTTCCCATTCACACTGCTTTGACTTCTGCACCACCCTTTCATGCTGACCCTCATTTGTCCTCCCTTTTTAGGCAGAGTTCATGTAGCTTATCCTAGCCTGCCTGGCTTTACCACATTTCCCTGTCAGTGTCACCTATGCTACCTATCTCCCATTGCCTGTTTTGTTTCTCTTCCTTCCCATGTATTGAGATCTACATCATCCTTTGTTGTCTTGCCTGTTACATTCAAATTTGTCAGTCTCCCCTCAGCAGAAGAAATATATCTCCCAAGACTGAAGGCCTATTACTTGAAAGAGTGTCATGATCTCTCTTTGGAGAATGCATGCAGGATATCCCTGAGACACTTTCATCTGATTGTTCAGGTTCTTGTTATGGTTAGAAGGCAGACTAGCTATTTGTCAGTAGCTGAAGTACATCTATTAATCAATGTATCTTGAGCTGCACCCTGAGTGTGGCATGACCATGCAACATGCCCAAGTGCCAGTCTTTCCTTCTGTCTCTGGCAAAGAGACTAGTTACATGTGTGACTATATATATGTGATCAAGTAACAGAAACACCATGATTAATAATACAGCAAATGCTTCTCCTGTACAGTAACCAGCTCAGTATGTTGGAGATGAGACGGAAATGCACTGGATGCACTGGAAAGCAGGGATTTTTTTAGTCAAGTATCTGTGTCATAAGAATCCCTCCATTTACCATGCAGTAGATCTGTCTTATCATGTGTGTTAACATGCAGGCTTGTGTGCTTTGTTGCAGCACCCACTCTTGGTTGAACACTTTCCAGACACGTAAGAATGATGATGATTTCTCCAGGCATTTAACAATCTGTGGAATATCAAATACTGTGTGGGTGGAGGAAGAGGAATTATAACAAACAGTTTTCACTCATTGTTTGCAGAAGCTAGTTCACACAGTGTAGTATGGTAAGAATAGACCTTTGATTACAGAATAGGTACTTGATTACTTGGACAAAAAGAAAAACACCAAACTGGCTGGATGAGAATTTAACAAACAAATGGGTGGAGTGATATGGACCAGGAACAGACACAGACTCTGAGAAAAGTGAACAAAAATAGGAAGGAGAAAAGTTTGAAAGTAGAGACAAGAAGCTTAAATCTGACGTCAGTAAAACCAAGGAACAAGAATTACAAAGTCAAACCAAAAGACAAGAAAAACAGGCTTATAGCAGTATTTTTAATGTGTAAAGGATACTTCATGTGACATGTTATGACCTAGATGTTATTATCACTGCTGCTGTTGGCAAGACAGTTAATATACCATCATTGTTTATTCTCTAATTGTTTCCTGTACTGGAAAGATGCCATTAGCTGTTAGGGAGGTTCCTTCTTTGTGTGGCTATGTTCTGTCTGCTTAGCCTAGCATCTACTGGATTTAAAATTTTATGCCAAACATTTCACATGGGAAAAAAGCTAAATTAAAACAGGGGAAGTACAATTGTATGGTGGAATGATCCCTGTCAGTCCTGCTTACATCAAAAAGGCTCATGTTAAATAAGACATGAATCATGTTAATGAGTTGTGTGGGCAGTTACGTGATCACAGTTTCAATCACTAGTTTAAATAGATTTTTATGCTGTAGAAGATTAGGCTGAGTTCATCTTAATTCTCCTCTCAGTCATTTAAAAATTGTATGTCCTCTGAAATATTCATTATTTTATAAAGTTCAGCAAATTTTTGTCTTTTTAATATTTGTGATTCCCTTTTGACGTACTTTTCATTTATTTAGATCTGACTGGAAATGCTGAGTACTGTGAATAATATTCCTAGTGTTGCTAGAACTATATTATTGCTGCCTGAGGATACAGGGCATCTCTGAATGCAGCCTCATCAAAAGTTTTCTAAACTGTTATATATTGAACTGCTGTCAGATTTGCAGTATCTCTTTTCCTTCCTTCCTTTTCTTGTTCATTCTTGTTTTGCAGCTTTCTCCCTCAGATTGTTTTCCCACTAAATGTGCTAACTGCCCATTTTTCCTATTTGAGTCTTGTGATACTGATGAGTCAAAGTCTCAGTGTAAGTAAAACAGAACAACCATTCTAAAAGCAGTAGTCTGAGCTGATTTATACCAGCTGAAATTTTGTCCCCATGTTTCTGATCCTGTCACTATTATTAGAATTATGGTAACGCCCAGATGTATTAACTGTCTTTCCAATACAATGATACAGCCCAATCCTTGCCCCAGAGAATACCAAGAGAAATAAAACAGAAGGCACAAGTCAACTGAATAAAGTATATTTTTTTTCTTCCTCTGAAGAATTTACCAAAGAGGACATGGTTCAGAGCAGTCTGTGCATACCATGAGCTTGTTCTTCTTCAAGACCCCAAGATACTCTTCTTAGTACTCTGTGGTAATTAATAGTACATTTTGAGCCTGCTCTTTATTGCCACTTGGTGAATTTTCAATGCAACCAATTGTTGTATCCAAACTGGTTTAACTGAACGCATTAGTATGTATTCAAATAATTTCCACTAAACAACTTACATGACTGGAAAGGTCTTCCGAGGCTATTAATTCTCTGTATTTTTGCAATGTTATCTGAAACTGCATTTCTAAAAGTGGTGGGTTGTGTTTTGTTGGGTTTGCTTTATTCTTTTTTTTTAACTTAAAACCTCTTTATTGTTTATTGCTTATAAACATCTCAGTTTGCAGTGTCAGGGATTTGGAACTAGCTGCACGGATCTTTATGCAATACATATGTGTGCGTGCATCTGTCAGTTCTCATACACTGCTGAGTCTCTCATCTTTTTCAGATTTGCTGATCCAATTGAATGTGAATGATTGTGGGATAGAAATCTCACAGCTATGTTTCATACAAATTACATTACAATCAAGAACCAGGAAAGGGTGTTTGACTACTGTTCCCATTAAGGCAGTGGCTTCACTATGAGACCACTCCTAATTAGGCTGCATAAAATCCAACACAAGAATGCCCAGACCCTTGAAGGGAGGCATAATTTGGGGTATGCTTTATATTAGATACTGTAAGACAGATTTGCAGGAAATGAGCTTCATTACCTCCTCTGGTCACACAGTGAACATGTTTTTGCTTGCAACATTTGTTCCATTACTGTGCTAGGGATGGGTGTTAGATACAGCGATGGTAAGTGCCAGGAACATTCTTTCTGTTTTTGAAGATCATTAATATATCTGCTTTTCTTCAAAGTACCACACTACCTCTGCTTTTAATCACTAACAGCCCAAGCTTAGCTGCTACTGACTGATACTCTTAGATGTTCATTGACCTTACTGACAAGGTATACACATTGAGATTTTCTAATTTAAAAAATTCCTTTTTTTGTACAAGGAATACTTTGTTTATGGTGTTGTGGATGTTGAAACAAGGAAATATTGCTTCAGTCTGTGATGTAGGGAAAAATACTTTCTCTGTCAGTGCTTTCCTCATGGGTGAGACAGGGTTAATGCTGTTCCTCCTGCCCAGAAAATTGTGCACAGGAATTAACTCACTAATTTTTTAGAGAAATTTAGCTAAAACGTCTTATAGCTTTTTTAGTATTCTTCAGATTTGTAGCCCTAGAGACTTGTTAGGGTATCAAATGTCTCCTCAACATCAAGTTAAATCTGCCAGCCTGGGAACTGTAATTGAAAGTTTTTCACTTGAAGCAGCAATAGTTGTAGGGTGCTGCCTGCTTCAGGACTGCATCTGTCTAGGCTTCTGCTCTCCCTAGGCCCTTGGTCTTCAGAATCATGAGCTTATAAGGTCTGTGTCCTATGTTTTGGATGTGCTAAAAGCTTCCCAACTCTTCCTTTGTGTGGTCAGGCTTCGCTCTCCCCAGCTGTCCTCTTTATTTGCACAGAAGCTTCTCCTGGTTTCCTGTCCTGTCCCCATGGAGTTCACAGCAGGGCAGAATACTTTGTAGCTGAATCCAGAAGCCATGGTCCTTGTCAGCTTCCAGTCTCCCCATCCTTGCCTGGAAGACAGCCAGGATCTTAGCACAGTGTGGAGACAAAGGCATTTTCAGAAGTCTGTAACCCCCAAGAAAAACATCCATGACCTTTCTTTAGGCAGGTTTCAGTGCAGTTTTTGCTGATCGGGCTTCGTTAGAGCATCCATGCTTGCTGTTTCTTCAGAGTCATGGATCTCCTTGCCAGTGTATATTAACACAGGCAAAGGGTTATGACCATTATGTGTTGTGAACTCCAGGATCTTAGTGATTTTGGTAACAAGAAAAAGAACATCCAGGAAAAATGCATAATATCAAAAGAACTTATAGGAAAGATGGATAATATCATTTCACAGTGAAATGTCACTGCTGAATGAGAAGTGGGTGCAGTGACTTCAGGGTCTCCGTTCCCAGCCCTACGACATGTCAGGCTCTGAGATGCAAGAGACTAAGTTCCAAGTTCCATTTTAGTTTGTTTTTCTGGGGAGAGGTGGGGTGTGACTGCTATTTTCCAGACTACTGCACTTGTACTAGCTTCCTTATTGAGAATCTGGAAGCTGCAATCAAGGTAGAGCTTCAGGGAAGGGAGAGGTTAAGAAGGATTGGGAGCCCAAGGGCATCTTGTCAGTGAGCTCTGCTTAGGAAACAGGCCTGTTTTGGCTCCTGCATTTCCTTCTCTCCCTAGAGTTCTGCCTGTCAGAAACGCCTTCCCACACACCACTGCTCTGCCATTTGCCAGAGAATTGCGGGGGAGAGGGGCTTTTCCTGTCTGTGTGCTGAGACTCAGCCAGCTCTCAGACTGTGGTTTTCTCTGGAGCCTGGAGCCCATTTGCTGTGGCTTTGTGTATTTTCCACCCGAGGAGAAACTGAGGACAAACTCAGTGAAGGGCACTGCTCCCAGGGTCACACGGAAGGCTCAGCTCTCCCCCTTATCTCCTATCACTGACCTCTAGATGCCAGATTACAAGGTTATGGTATTGCCTCTGTTCTGGGAATCTGACTTCGAGGAAAGACAAAGCAGAACTCCCAGCAGGTTGCTCCTTTCTGAAGAGAGTTTAGCAGTCTGCAGAGCTCCCATAGAGGAAATCTTCTCCACTCCCTGCTTTGCCAGGCCATTGCTTAGCTCTCCAGTGTCTCATAACAAGCAGATCCTTTTGTTCCTTGTGTCACATCTCCAACATGCTTACTCTCCCACATGCTATAGGAATAGAAATATTACTGGGGATTTCCTTTTTGTCAGCCGTGGAGTTAAAGTTCCTTTTTCAGAAGAAGGTACCCTAGAGCTTTTGTATTATTCCAAGCACCTACACAATTACACCAAATAAGTAGCATTGTATCACCCCATTTCTAGAACTGTGTCTGAATCCTGCCTCCCACATAAAGAATAATTTAGCAAGATAATACAGTCAATGTACTGAAATCTTTACTTATTTGTGGATGGAAGCCCACTGCAAGGTTAGATTAGGGTTGGGCCTCTTGTTTTTTAATCCAGAATAGTAGAATTCTGTGGCAGTTAGTGAGCTTGTCTGCCTTCCTAGAAGCTAGTCCTGGTTTCTAAGGGCATTGAATTCACTGACTTAACAACTTCTTATGTGTGGGACTTTCCCTGGAGCTCTGGGGTTGCCTTCACCAGGCAGCTATTATCCCTCACAAAAGTGTCACCCACCTCCATCAGTATTCTCAGCAACGTTCACAGAGGTAATCACCAATTACTAAGGGATTTTTTTCTTTTTTTACCCAGGCTGGTTTTCCCAACTACTCACAATCCAGCACCAGTCATATATCTATGCCAGCTGGCTCTGATGCCCGCAAGACATCAAATGCCACTTCTAGTGTCCAGAAGGCAGCCAGTTTGCACAAAGTGATGCCATCCCAGACTACAGCTCCTCAGCTGGTTCCAAAGCCTCCAACAAACCACAGACAGGCAGTGATCAGAAAGGCTGCAACCCAGAGGATATCCAAGTAAGTTATATCTCTTCCATCCACAATAGGGACTTGGCACTGGTTCCCCTGAAAATGAATATTGGAGAAGAAATTGTCGACATCTGACTCTGACAGACCTTTTTTGGCTGGGCTGTCCAGGATAAATCTCAGAATGACCTGAGGTGTACATACTGGAATAAGCATTGCACTGTGTGAAAGCTGTGTGTTTCATAGGGGTATGGAAGGTAACTGTAGCAGCACACAAAGGTAAGGACATAGGAACTGTCAAATTGATCCCAGAGTGGGATTCAGTAATGTAAATACAGGCTGCTAGTGGCATTTTGGATTCCCAGGACTATTCCACCTGACTTCCAGCTGCTCTTCCAGATGAGTACAGGTCTTTTGTAGTTCTTGTATTGTATCTGTCAGTCCCATGCAGATGTCTAAAATAACTTCAGAGCACCAATTAAGGTACATCTATGTTTAGGCACTTCAGTCACTCTCTCTGTCTAATCTTTGATAGGGGCTAGAATCTAGAAGAGGGTGCCAAAAAAAAAAAAGGCACCAAAAAAACCCAAGAAAACTGCAACAAAGCAATTCAGTATCTTTAACAAGATAATCTACCCCTGAGCCAAGTTTTCCCATAAATTTAACACACCATGTTGAATTTAGGCCTTCAAGCCCAAGTGTTTATTTCATTTGAAATGCTTATATTGTGCCTGATGTAATGATAGCTTTTCTCATTAACTGTAGAAATCCTTCTTTTAACTTTTAGTAAGCTTTTAGTTAAATAATGCTTGCTATTGTAGGGTAAGTGGATGGATTTGACAGTTATCTTTAAAAACAAATGCTGTCTTTAGAAACAAACAAAAATATTCACCATGAAATTTTGCTTGAAGATTATGAGTTTCCTTCCTTTCTATTTCTTGGTATGTCTTCTCTTTTGTGAATTATGAGAAAATGTGAGCAAGGCTTCTGGGTTTTCAGCTTCCTCAGCTCTCTGTTTATCTCCTCTTAAATGGCAGCAGTGCTTTAGTCTAAATCCTTCATCAAGTTTTTCCTCATATATCCTCAGGCTTGTTTCATCCTGAAAAATTGATTTCATAACTTCCTTCCTTGTACTTACTCTACAGCCAGAAGAGTTGTAAAGCTTTCAGAGCAAGCTCCTGTGAGGTTTCCTGATTCTGTTTTCACTTCCTGTTTAAAGAGAGAAGTTTTAGTTTTAGGTTACTGATGAAAGACACCTCATGAAGATGCAGTCACTGTGTGTGAATCAAATCTGGAACTGCAAGGCATATTTAAGGAACTTGAATAGAACTACTTTGGGGAAGTTTGTGTATTTGCTGCCTGTACTCTTGCTATCTTAAGAGATAGCACATAGAGTTAATCCCCCAAAACTATTTAAAAAGAAAACAAGATGTTAGTAAATTTTGTCAGCTCTGCAAATGCAGATGTGAGCACCAGGTCTGGCAGGTATGCTCTGGTGGCTTTGCTATCTGATTTCTTTCATGTTGGGTGGCTCTTGTTAGTACAGGTGACAGGCAGTGTCAGTGGGTTTCTCTGCTGGGCAGCAGGGATGTGTATTTGAAGATGCCGGTGTGCTGTGCTCACTTCTTGGCAAAGGAAATGTTTATCCTTGTGAGATGGAATTGCAGCTCCTTGGACAGACTTTACTTTGCTGCATTTTTGTGGTTTCTGCTCTGTGACAGGCAGGAGTGTGGGAAAACCGGAAAAAGTTCAGCACCAAAAATGCACAGAAGGGGGAAAAAAAGCAAAAGATTCCTTCAGAATTTCAGAAAACTAATCCAAGTATTGAAGGCTGCAAGGAGCCGCTCCGGAAATATTTTCCAAGTTGCCTTTCAGTCTCCAGCACAAGGCTCCAAACCCATTCTTGCCATTCATGGGATCTTGCAGTAACATTTTTTCACTTACATGGAAAACAACAGTGCCTAGCTGTATTTCCAGCACACTGAGAGCTGATCGTTTAAAAACTGCTATGTCTCAGACTAATTTAATCCATTCATTGTTGTCAGGAAAAGACCAGATACACATCTGCAGGGGAGAGTGAATGGAGAAAGGCCTCTGTGTCAAAGAAACATGGACTGGAGGAGAAAAAGATGTCTTGCATGGTTTAGCCTGTTTTCTACAGGCCCTGATAATTTGTACAGAGTATTTTCAGACTCATTGTGTAGTCTGCTTTCAAAAAAGTCCAGTGGTAGAAACTCTACTGTGTGCTCTAAAAATCTGTATAAGAATTTAGACAACCTTTTAATCACCTAGTGTCTCCTGATGTGCTGAATTTTTCTTTTGAATTCTTTTCTGAATTTTTCCTTTGTTTCAGCCTGTTGTACCTTGTTTCTCCTTCCTGAACTCTAAACACTTTCTCATGTAAATACTTTCCATCTTTTGAATATTCCTTTACTTCTTGGAGTAACCTAACTTTGCTTAGACTTGTTGAGGTTTTGTTAACCTCAGATAGTAGTTCTACTTGCCAAGTCCTTAATTGTCTTGAATTTACTGTATTTTCTTCAGTTTGTCAGAGTGCTTGGGCTGTGGCCCCCAAAATTGTACTTTCCCAGTGAGACTACTGTGTCCTTAGGTTATGACATGGCAAATATCCCTCTCCATAACATCTTTTTGGCTGCTTCATTTGTCTGTCAGGTCACTTTTGATTTGCTGCCTTCTTTCACTCTCTAATACTTCTTGGCTGTTTTTCTGATATCTTTCCTCAAAGGGGATCTCAGGGCTATGTATTATTTACATGAGACTCACTGAAACTAATCCCATTCTGTTGTTAGAGCTCTCATGTCTCTTTCTCCCCCCATATATTTCAGTAAGCCAGACCTTATTTCTGTTTGCTCTTGCACTGCCTGGCTTTTGTTTGACATCCTAATAAAGATCTTTTTGAAGTTGTTTCTAGAATTTCTCCAGAGACAGGACTGTGATGACAAAACTAAAATCAACTTTGTCTCTTTGACCTATCTCCTCCTTGCATGCATTATCAATTCTCTCCCAGCCAGCACACGTGGCTTCCAGAAAAGGAAGAAACAAGTAGAAACTCAACTACAAACAGAATGAGATGCTAAAGATGAACAATACAGACTAATTCAAAAACTGTCTAGCTTGGACACTTTCCTGGTTGAAACATAAAGGAAAAAAGTAATGGAGCAGCCAGACAATTCAGTTTTGTCTTTTCAGTTCCTGGCTTCTCTTGTTTTTGTAGAAGGTGGTAGGTTGACTTTATAATGGATTGTGTCCAAAGCAGACTCCTTGCTTAAACTAACAGAGTGGAAAACTGGGGCCCATATTAAGGTGTGGAAAAAGACTAACTGGGAGAAATGATTTAGTATGCAGCTCTATGCTGAAATATAGTGCCATAAAATGGTCTCACAGGGCCCCACAGTTTTGATCAAAGGTGCTTGTATCACTAATAGATATATTTTTGAACAGCTAACACAACAAGCTCTTTTTTCTTTCCCAGAGTCAGACTGGGTCTTTCCCACTGCTCATGTTGCCACTGCATATTGACAGGTAGTGGTTCTGTGAACCATGAAGAGACCTGCTGATATTTTGAGATAGAGATGACAGATACAGTATTTATAAGCAATGAAATGAAGCAGATGTTTCCTGGAAGCAGTATTTGGTGTATAGTGTCTTCACATTACAGATGACAGCATGCAAAGTAGAAAAATATATTAGATCAACTGTTCAGAAGAGTGAACTGGTGGTAGATGAAAAATCTTTCTGCTTTTAGGAATGCCTAAGTCATAATAAATACACATTTCTGTGCTATCATTCACAAAGTAACTTCTCAGAAACCTTCTCTCTGTGACAGTGTCAAGAAGAGTAAGGCTTTGAACAATGTGTGAACAGAACCATCAGTCAAAGAAAACATCTCAGAAAAATTATCTGTCAATATTAGGCCAGTGTATATAAGGAGAGGAAATGCTAGGTAGGGAAAAGGGAGTATATTGTTCAAAATGTTATCAGAGAGAGACATAGGCCAGTGTATATAAGGAGAGGAAATGCTAGGTAGGGAAAAGGAGCATAGTGTTCAAAATGTTATCAGAGAGAGACCAAGATCATCAAGTTTACCAGCAGTAGACTGGACCATTACAAACTGTTGGGGATATTGATCAGCATGGCAAAATTTCTTGTACTGAACATCTCTCTATAAATGTCATAACTCTATTCAGGAAGCCTTTTGAAATAAATATTTCTTTCAAGTTCTACCACCACGGAACAAAAATCTTTCTACCATGTTCTCTTTTGTTGTATGTGGTGCTAGCAGTAGAAGAGCCAAAGTTCTTCTTTATTGTAACTAGTACAGAAATAGGGTAGAAGGGAATCCATTTCTCTAGGGTTCAGGAAATCTGTCCCAGAGTGGGGAGGAGTTCTGACTGCAGTTGGACACAGAAGTAGCCAGCTTTTCTAGGATCCACTGGCCAAGCCTAGCAAATGTGCCAAAAGCAGATGATGATCACAGAGTGAGGCCCTGTAAAACATTGTGGCTCTGTTTTGTATCCTGTCTTACCCATGTGTGAAGTGTCTTTAGTGAGCCAGGTACATCACACACAGAAACTGAGTGCCCACTGATAAGAGGACAGGCAGCAACACATCTAACAGTCACTGGAACCCCTTTGGCTGTTTTGCTACTGCTGTACTGCAGCACACTTGTTTTTTCAGCTCCCGAATATCTGGGTTAATCAGGCTGCGTGACCCTTAGACATTTTTGGCAGTAAAAGCAGTGCATCTGAGAGACATGCCTTGATTTAACACCCTGACACAGCTGGGCTCACTAGACCTGTAGCTCGTAGCCCTTGGCTAGGCTCAGGTCATACACACAGATACACATGCAGGGGTACCCCATCCAAGAACAACAAAGAGGACCAAGCTTCCCTGGCTCTGGGTCTTTACTTCTGCTGCTGTCCTCTTGTCAAATTGGGGCTTTTTGTGATGTGAATGTGTTAGTGTCAGATCTCTCTGGTTCCACTGGCCCTTTAGATGCATCTGTAGCATCCCAGAAAGAAGTTGTTAAAACAAAGGTGTGCAAAATTCAGTCAAAAATATTTATCTTTCACCTGTGGAATGGAATTTGCAGTCTAAGGCTGGGCAGCTGAATGCTAGTCTAGTACCTAAATTAAGGAAGCCAGTATCAGTTTTGAGGAGGAGTTAGCCATATAGGAGATAAAAAAGAGCAATGACAGATATTTAAATGGAGGGGACAGTTGGGATTGTTTTTGTTAGTATTGAATAAGCGATGGAGAACATAACAACGGCTTGCACTGGAGAAGTGGAAGCAAAAACAATGGAGACATTGACAGTAGGAAACTGAGAAAAAGCAGTAGGATTTCAGTTTAAGCAATGGATATGTTCTGGCACTGAAGCTTTCATCAGGACAGCATAGAGAGTATGAGGAAGAGGTCTTGGCATGGTGGGAGATCCCAGGAGCAGAGCTGAGAATGAGCTCTCAAAATGAGGTGACTGCTGAAACTGCTAGAATCAAGGTACCCAATGGTGTGGGTAGGCAGAGAAGAAGGGCAAGTCTGTAGAGATAAAGGAATTCTCTGAACAATAAGGTAGAAGAGTGACTGTTTCCTGTTTTGCTTTTTTAATGTTGTACTTGCTGGTATTCATGATTAGTTTTTCAGCTACTAGTCTTGCATTCCACTTACAGAAGGGTGAGCTGAATTTGGCTGTCAGTTTAGCTGTGTAAACAAAGTGGACAAGCTAATTATGAGCATGGAACCTCTATGTAAGAAGCATAAAGATCCATCTGGATTCTCAGCTTCCAGAAGGACCATGCAATATCAGCAAAAAAACCCCCATAAGTACAGATCCAAAATTCTCTCCAAGAGACAATAAACACAGAAACAGGCACCTCATTTGACAATAGCATTTCCAGTTAAGACTGACTGAAAGTAAGGGATTGCGGTATGCAAATGTATCTGCATCCCTCTTCCTTCATGTGTAGACTGAAAGTCATTTCCCTGGAATCCAGCTGAAATAAAATGCAGGAGTTCCCTCTCTGTCCTTTTAGCTGTCAGAAACACCTGGATTTCTGGCAGTTTGCTGACCTTGAAATCTGGAAGCAAAAGGTTTCAGATAAAACCATAGAAACTGCATGTGTTTAAACGGTGAATTACTATTTAAACAGTGAGTAACAGTCAGTTAGTTGTCAGGGCATCCCATGGGGATTGGAGATCATGATGCTCTTCGGGGGAAGAGCTGACAGGAACTGTAACACTGCAGAGCTAAAAGAGTGAAGAAGGACTCTGGCAGAGATGAGTGTACACACAGAAAATCTGTAGTGATCGGAAATGAGTTGGGCCAGAAGGAAGAACAGCAAGGAGGAATAAGGGAGGAGCGAACAAACCAGGAATAAAAGGATAGTTGTATAGATTTTTAAGGACGGCATAGATGCTTGCAGCTGTATAGCTTGCCCTTCTCTTGTGAGTAGACCCAATTTTTCTGTAGGAGTACATGGTCTCAGTTTGCAATGAATCTTTCCGAGTCAAAGTGCAGTTGTAGTCTACAGAGTATAGTTTTGCTGTAACTCAAGTGCTGAGATCAATGCAGAAGGATTTGCATAAGGTATCTGCTTGAGGAATGGCACTGGATTACTGAAAATTAGATGCATCCCATGTGTCTCAGTTTGCAAGATAAGTGAGAAATCTTGACTAAATGAGCTCTCTCTGCTGAGGCAAGATGCAAAGACTTAACTCTTGAATGTAGTATGTTTTGACAGCATGTGCATTTCTGTGCAACAGTTGCTTAATCTCTTTAATTCAAATCATTGGACTAAGATGACCACAGCATTGCTATTTGCAATGTATGTTGGTGGTCCAGAACAATTTACTATCTTCTTTATACTCCAGAATCAGCTTCCAAGGCGTATGAGACAATTAAGTGTTTTAGTCACATTGAAATTTCCCTGGTGGCTTGAGTGTTCATTTGTCTTGCTCTGCTTTTTGGAGTCAGTTGCTGTCACTGCATTTTTCGTACCACGTTCAGGCACAGCTTCATGGTTACAGTCCCAGTGAGATTATGTAAATTAGGGGAGTTTTCATTTTTTTGTTTGAGGCTTCTATTCTTCCTTACTATATCACTTGCCTCTGTCTAATTTTATGGTTTTACCTCTTAGGTTGACCTCCACTGAAAAGCAACTGAATGGATTCCAGAACAGCCTTCACAATGCTGCACCCTGTGAGCCAGGGACATATTCCACAGGTGAGTGACAGTGCCAGAGACCGTGAAAGTGGGGATGGGTGTGCTGGGATGCTTTCATCTTTTTTCAAGAACTGGCAGGGGAAAAAACTTATCAGCAGGAAGAAACACAGCTGCCTCCTCTACATGTAGTGGCTCCTAGGTAACAGTCTGTGTTCAGCTGTGCAGGGAATTTATACCTCCTGGGATTAAAAAGACTAACCAGAAGGGAGCAGAGGCTGAGGTTTTTAGAGTTGGAAGACCCCCTTAAAATATGGCTGGGGAGGGAAAAAAACACCTTGGCTCAAGTGGTTCCTTTTTGCTTTAGACTTTGGCTCAAGATGCCCTCTTGTTTAAGCTTGGCCCGTAATAAAGGACCAGGACATTCTTTACATTTTTCTTTGGTCTTGGAAAAAAGCTCTTAGTGCAGATGCAGAAAGACATAGCTGAGACTTGTGAATCAGCTGCATAGTGAAGTCAAGTAGTAAATGTGAAAGCATCTGATAGAAAATCACTGAGAGTTACAGAATTAAATCTTCATCTTTCCCTAGTGGCTAATTAATTCAGACAGGTTTATCTGCTGATAAGTTCTGAGCAAATGAAGATCCAATCATTTATGCAGACCTATTGACAGGTAGAGCATAGTCTTGTAAACCCATACTATCTGTGGCTCACAGTAATTTGTGATAGTGTAGTGGAATATGTGGAGACAATATGTTCCAGAATGCTTTGAAAAATTATGTTTCTGATCTTCTGTTTTGAAATGGAACTGTGCAAACATGACTTAAGTGTCACTAATGCAGTGATCTCTGTGTTTTCAGAGGCTGAAAGAAAAGTTTGTGGAGGGGTTCATCTCTTGGATATTAATCTCTGAAACTTAAAATATGACATTTCCTTTATTTATGTCAGTGATTTTTTTGCTGATCCTCTACCACAAACATTCAGCTAATGCACTTAACATACAGTTCCAAACTGCCTCCCACACTTTACCACCTGCCAAAAACTCCAGTTTTCCTACCAGAAATTTTATAGAGTGAATGGCCACAGTCAATATAAAACACCCTATGGTACACTGGAACATGACAGTGTACTCTGGCATATAGTGGGATTATCAAAGCAAATAAAATTATGTCAACCCTCTATTATGTGTATAGCTAAATCAAAAGTTTTGGTCTACTGTATAGTGCAATTTAAGTTTTTAGTACAGTATATAAAACAAGGTTAGAGATAAATTTAAAAGTAAATGTAAAAATGAAGTTCTCAATATATTGACAAAACTGATTTGTTGAATGGACTTAAAAGAAGTCATGCTGGATTCTGCCTTCTTTTTCACATTTTCAAGAGTACTGTTACAGTTGCCACCCTGTAATTTTCACCTTTCCTGGAGAATCTCTTCATCTCCTCTGGATACTGTTGTTATGTGTGTCCATGATAACTGTAGGTAGCATTTTGCTATCCATCCCCATTTCTGTGAATACCTGCACAGTGCATGCATGAAGATGGATGATAATATGAATGATGGTATGCAACAGCCAGAGCTGGAGCAATAATAGAGGCTAGATAACAACTGTGAAGCTCAGGAGTCACTCCTCTGTGAATAATTGTAATCCAGTGAGAATTGAGAACTTCAGCTCATGTTTCCTTCTGTAGAACTGGTCTAGCTGCATTGTGCTAAACTACCCTCTCTGAAGCTGAAACAAAGGGTTAGCCTGCTGTTTAACTAAGAGGATCAGGGCTTAGGTAGAGCCCAGGTTTGGCTAGGGGTAGGCTAGTAGAACCATGATGGGTGGGTCACTCAAAGCTTTCTTGCTGCTAAGAGAGGTCTATAGCTCCAAGAACAGTGTTAAATATTGCCATGATTAAACTAACTAGAGCAAAATGTTTCTTTGAAACTGGGGAATGATATTTTCTTCAGCTTTGCACCAAGCTACTGGTATGTGTCAGAGGCTGTTGTGCCCAGTTTGTGTCTCAGAAACTACTCTGCAGTAGTAGTCCTTGCTGCAGGAACAGCTGTTTTTCTTCTTCACTCTCTCCATTGATTGCTTACACTAGGGCCCCAATTTCCCCTCAGCAGCAGTTTACTTGGGGTTACTGTTTCACATGTATTTAGTATCTTAGATACCGACTGGAGGGGTTGGACACACAAGTCATAAAGCAAATCACAGAATAAACTGCAAGCATTTAAAGATGGAAGGCTGTGAAAAGCTGCAGATACAAAAGAGGAACCAGGCAGAACCGCTGTATAAACACATACACACAGATGTTGAGAAATGTCTGAGAAGCTTGAATAGGCCTTCTCCTCTAACAGCCTATCTGAGAACAGTTATGGGGCTCCGTGAAGAACCATAAAGGTGTCATAAGTGATCTTACCTTGAGCCAGGATGTTGCTGAGAAGAGAGAGTCAGGCAGTATGGAAACTTTTAACTAGACTGTCCAGAAGACAGTTGACTAGTGGTTAGTGCTGCAGCTGTAAAATAGCAGTTATAGACACTGATGTGCAGTGGGTTCAGGCTCCTGAGAACAGATCCTTTGAAATAAAAGGGAAAATAAAAGTCACCATTTCTGCAAGGTAGCTCAGGATTCTGAAACAAGCCACCACTACAATAAAAGTAGCCTTATCCTCATTTCACAGAGAGGCAGAAGTTGTGGGAGCTGTCTGTCACTGGTGTAATGAGAGGGAAGGCAAAGAGCCTTATGACTCTATACAGCCAGGAATCTAAATTTGTAAGATAGCATATGGGGGTTATTTGTAGTGTCTGAAGAGACAGGTTCTTAGCAAAATTTGTGGAAGTTTAGCAGGATTTATTCTAATAAAGAAATACTAAGAATTACTAGCTCTAGGGAACATTTAAATTGCTTGTGACCTGAGTTTTCACTGAACACCCAGCTACTTTCAGTGGGTTACTGAAAATAGAGCCATTAACACATTGCTTTTTTTGTTCTGTGTTACTTTGAGGGTCCCTCAGCATGATTGTTTCCCTTTTTGTGGAATTCAGCATTTTAGTTAGTATTATTGAAACAGGGTGATTTTGAATTAAGGAACCAGTTCTCTTTTCAAAAAGTCTTCTTCAGAGTATAGCTTGCTGAGTAACAGCTAAGTACTGTGGTTGGTTGTTCAGGTCCAGGTTGTCTTTAGGAGGCTGTGCTTGGTATATGGAGGCTGTGCTTGAGTTCAAATGATGGTCAGGTTGGTCATTTTTGTTTTACTGTATATTTTAAGAATATAAGGTGTATGGAGACATTTCGCCATGTTTTGCTGGTTTATTTTCCTTTCCTCTCAAGTGGCATTAGATAAATAGTATGTGAGTTTGTTTTCTCCATAAAGTGAAGGTCTAGGAAAAAAAGTCATTTTTCACCAGAATTTAGCTTTTGAACAAGCTGGCAAGAAATATCAAGAATTTTTTTGTAGTTATGTGTTGATCTCAAAATTAGAAATTATTTCTATTTGATTATTCTTCATTTTTGAAAATGCTAACACAAAGGAGGTTTTGGGGAGACCAGAGGATGAAGAGCACTTTATGAAAATATAACAGCATAGTCCAAGCAGCTTCTCTGTTCCTGAATTGGACTCTTGTCTCCAAGAGTCTGGAGAGAAGAACAATCTTGAAAGTATAGTTAACCCCTCGGTGCATCTGTAGAGTAGATACTCAAGTTGATTTTATTTGGTTTGGTTTGATATGCAAAGGTTAACAGCAACTGTTGAGTTGCTGTATGAATGACACCTGTGTTCTTTAGGCTTTTATCCTTCATTTGCTGCCAGCTTCTTTAGAGTTTGTGACATTTTTATTTTAAAAGCTTCAGAAGACAGAACACCTCTGGGGTTCTGTTTTGCTATGACAAAAACATAATGTACTGATAAACTATATAATTACAAATATGAATCATTAAAGCTGTGCAAGACTGATGGCTCCAAACTTGACAGGACCTTCATCTTTCCATAATCAGACTGATTAACAGTAATGCAGTTTTATTATGCTGATGTTTATATTACCAGGGTCCACATAACTCTTCCACTGTGTCTGCTGAGAGGAAAATACATAAGCATAAGAATTAGAGGAGGTCAAAATTAATAATAAGCATTTCAAGTTTAACAGTGAAGATTGCTAATTCATGCAAAGTCTTGGATCTCTACCTAGTCGGGTTGAAAACATGAGTCTAAAACTAATTTATTTGTATTTTAGTTCTCTGGAGAATACTTGATGCAGAAAGTGAGTGTCAAAACTCAAGTCTGAAACTAGGATGAAACTTCTTGAGCTAGTTGGAATAGACTTGATTTTATTTCCCATGATTCTCAGTTCTGTAGTTGTGCTTAGTTGCAGGGTGATGAACAGTTGTCTGTTTATTTTAGACATTCACCTGCCTCTGTATCTGCATGATGCCAAGTCCACAAAGTATGCAACTCTTTGAAATAAAGTGTGTTATCATCTGTAAGGGCTTGAAACTGCATCCTGAACTGCAAAGAGACTAGAAGAATATGGGGATTAATAAAATGGCTTGGATCTAATCCATGTAGAAGACAGGCTGCTATTCTTAATTTTCTAGTGATATCCTCCTTTAGGCTAAGGTGGAGAGCAATGTCTGAAAGTCATCCAAATATGATGGGTGTGTAAGCAGTGTGGTCCAGTATGGAGCAATGAATGGAGCCTGCTTGTAAACTGGCAACACTAATGAGCACTTTTGTACTCACTCTTCTCACCATCTAGCATGCCTCAAATTTTTTTCACTTTACAGAAAAGCTACAAGTAGACTGTATATTTCTGAAGTTTTTTATATCCAAGATTATTGTATGGACCTTCAAAACAAGGTCATATTGTTATAGGTCTTGTTATTGGAGACCTGAAATTAGAGTTTGTATTGGAGGTGCTAAGTCTTGACTGGCTGTTGCTTACCCACAGCTTGAACATAGTTCTTGAAATGCAGCCTCTTTAGATTCCTTTAGCAGGTATGCAAATGTACAAGCTTCTAAATTGTCCTGGTCCAGGAAAAAAAAAAAAAGGCAAGTAAACACAGCAGGCATATAAACAAGACACATACAATTACTTAATATTTTTTGCTGTATCTAAACAAACAAAAAAACGTGTGGAATTTGGAGATTCTTTTATCAACAAGAATGTCTCAACTCTCTTGGAGCCTAAAGGGTGGGGATGGGATGTAATATGTACTGTTACCACTGTGCATGGCCTGTGTCAGTCTTCCAGCCATTTGTTACAGTGGAGTGGAATTCCCAGCTGCCCAGCCTTGTCCAGACTTCCTCAGCTTCTGCCAGGTTCCCTGCAGCCTTGGAAAGCAGTAGATTGTTGAACACCAATGTGTTTATTTTTATGTTGTTACCACATTCCCAGGAGGAACCTTGACTATGATTTCAGCTGGTCTCACCACACTGTCCAAATCCTTCATCAGGAGCAGCTGGGAATAGAAATCACTCAGGTTTCTCCACAGCACATTGCTGGTACACTTCCTCCTTCTCAGTAATCCTGTTAATTCCAGTCTTCATTTGCCACCCTCATGGTTCTCTGTGTTGTTGCTGTGACTGACTGCACAAATGGTCTTCAGTTCAAAAGATGACCTTCAAATGGGCACCTCAAGTAACCTCTTCCTCAGACTGCTTTGAAGACCCAGGCACAAGGTATCTTATGACACAAAAGAGCAACTTTTGATGTCACCTCGTTACTTGTCTTTGTCCAGGAATGGAGTGGTGATGAGCTCTTGCACATAATCCTTTCAGAGCCACCTGTCTGGCTGAGAAGCTCTGGGTGGATCATTGAAGAGGGAGCTCCTGTGTGATATCCAGCACTTTGCATTTCTGGTGCAGTCTCTCACCCTGCATATAGCCTTTGTTAACAGCAGTTCTGTCAGTATCTCTGTAATGCTGTCTCCATGCAGAGAAAGGATCATTGAGAAACAGAACTAGTCTCTTTTATCATACTTTGGAAAGCTGGGCTTGACTTGAATCCTACTATTGTGCCTCCCTTTTTGGGAGGGCAAAGAATCAGTTACAATGGAGGATATTTAGTTGCACATTTGTTCTTATCTTCCTAAAGCCATTGTTTTTTTATGCATCACAAAAACATCCTGAGTAATTTCTCTCTTACCTTACTGACTTCCACAGTTTTATAAGGAGAGCACACAGGAAGGGGTAAATATAATTTCACTGCCTTCTTTAGTTGCTCAGTCAGTCCCAGGTCAGATAATGACACGCAAGCCTCTAGTATCAGATGGGCCTGAAGGGAAAAGAGAATGGTAAAGAGGCTTTTTTATATCCCATTTCTTAGTACTCTTTGGAGGGGCAGGGAACTATTGTCTTATGACTAACAATGAGCAAATATTGATGTTTCAAATCAGCACCTTTAAATAGATACAAGTTATCAACAGGACATGACTGTGTTAGAGTTCTGAGAAAAGTGTATGTAAGTCTCATTAAGTCTCAGCAGAGTGTAAAGTGCTGCCAGAAGCAGCATTCCAGGCCCTTCTCAGATGATATTATCCAACTCAGGCATCGCCTCTCAGATAGAACTGAGGGTCAGTGTTCCCTTCTGATCATCAGAAATTACATTTATTCCTTAACTTGTGAGAGCAACCTGCCTCTCACAGCTTTACTCAAACTTTTGCCTTTCTTTTTTGAAAGGAAGGAGCTTTTTCCTGTTGCTGCTGATCTCATGCCACTGAAAGGACATTCCACATCTCAGGACTCTTCCTGAGAAAGCAGGAGAAAATGGAAAGAACAGTCTTTACAGTCAACTAACCTGTCTAAGAGCTAGAACTCAGCTTGAATTTTAGGAGCCTTCACTTCTGACTAACTCAGGAGCAGGATAAGTGATGACTGCAGGCAGTTGGCATTTTTGCCTGACAGGAAGCTTGGGCATTGCTTGTTCTCAGTAGTGAGGCGATGGCGAACTGCCTGTGTTTCCTTGCTGTGTTGGAAATGTCATTCAATATCAGGTGTGCAAAGACACAGGAGAGGTTATATAATATTTTTGCTGCTTCTGTCTCACATCTGGTCCTTTGGCATTAAGTTACCTATAGAGGGAATAACTTTGCCCATCCAAATTGGATTTTGTTTTAATCTGGCATTGTTTTACTGAGGCTAAAAATAGAAGCCACAATGCGTGTGAATAGGCTAAAACGTGTATCTGAAGTTATGAAATGAAATGTGGGGAAGAGCCAGAGAAGAGGGAGCTACAGTGAACCAGGGAGTAGAGAGGTGAATAGGAGAAATCAGAAAGAAGGCTGTCAAGTACAGAAGGACATTAGCAGTTGGGATGAGAGTGTGGTAAGTGTCTTTAACATGGGGAGCAGGAAGGCTCATGCTGACTTCCACTGGTATTTCTCTACTTGTCAGTGAGTCTGCTGGCTGCTTTTTTATGCAGGAAGACTTCTCTGGAATACAGTTGTATATACTGTTCATGGCATACACATCACACTCCCCATCCCCCAAGAAAATTTTCATGATTTGGAACTTCTGCTTTCCCTTGCCTGCCTGGTCCAACAAGTCAGGTTGAAATTGTGCCCAAAATATGGGGGGAGGGAAGGGTGGCTTTCTGTTTGTTGTCAGCTGTCCTGGCTTGCTAGTGTCAGTCACCCATGGATATAAATAAACCCCATTTATTTATTGCCTTTCTTAGTTATACTATATATTATCAAGAGAATGCTGAGCATCATTCTAAGATCAGAAATTCACTCTGGAATTAAAAAAACCTGAATTTCTAGGATAAATTTCTAGCTTTTCAGGGAGAAAGAAAGTTCCTGCTTTCAAGACTAGATTCAGGAGACTTCAAGAAAACTTTCTGCAGGTAAGATGAAACAGTCCAAACTAGCTGTAAAAAATATTAGCATGGGCTCCTGACCCAGTACTGTCATCTAGCCTTGTGCTTGTTTCTGTCTTATTCCTGCAGCTTGGAAGCACAGTAGATTAGGTGCCGGTTTGTGAACAAAGCTATGTACATCTGTGCTGGGAGTCTATGTGGCAGTGAATTTTAGTGTGCAGATATCTCTTAAATGACTTCATGCAACTCCTTTGATTTTCTTGTGACTCAGAATCATATCCATAAAAGGGAGATAATCCTTTTCTTCCCACTGTGACTGTTCTGAGTTTTTGAGGTGCAGTCATGGGTGACATAATAGTGTGTAAACATGTGGACAGACATATGGGCAGATACTTTGACACCTCATGGCAGGCAGAGAATAAAGGAGGCTCATGCTGTTGTATGTGGTGATTCACTGCAATGACTCTCTATCACTGGAGAGAATCAACCCTTAATGCTGGCTTCTGTCAGCAGTGAGCTTTTTTTCTGTTCCCACTACTCAACCAGAACCTCCATCTACTCAAATGCAAGGAGATGGAATGTTCACCAGTAGCTTTGAAATTATCAAACTTCAGAGCATTATATACATTCATATTTATGAAACTAATGAATTGTCAGTGAGCTCCACTCTTGGTAGGAACATACATATTTACTTGTAGACATAGGAATGTCCCTCTCTGTGCCGAGCCCTCAGGGTACAAGAATATACAAGAACTCAAGGAAAGTGATTTTAACTCAGTTTGTGAGAAAAGACAACTGTGTTATGCATTTCTGTAGGAATAGGACGGGTCAAACATCTTCAAAACAGGAAAATGGAGTTGAAGTTGGCTGCCTTCTCTCATGTGCCTTTGTTTCCTTAATTTCAGCATATTGCCAAGGAATACGTTTCTGGACTGGTATCCCATCTTAATGCACATGGTTGACAGTTTAGCTCCTAATTCAGTTTTCAAACTTTCTGTGTGGTGACATAGCTGGCAATTCCACTTTCTAAACATCTTTCCAGATCCTCTCTGCTCTGTGATGTTTGGCTGTATGCTGGACTTTCAAGGAGAGTGAGTGTATTTTCTTTAAATATAGTGATATTTTTAATAAACATCTCTCAACAAATGTCACTCATGTTTAGGAGCAAGCTGATGTGCCAAATACACAGGACAAGCTTTACCTACTAGATTAGCTGTAAAATGCAAGCTGTCCAAAATAAACTTGGTACATTTCTAAGTGTTTTGGTTTTTTCTTTTTAAAGGGCTGTCTAAGGATGTTTAAGTAAAAGAAGTGAAGATGACATTGACATTTTCCCATAATGTGCCTAAATAGTCAAATGCTGCAATATGTAGAAGTCAGAACTGTATCTTTATAATACTTGGGCGAGGCAGGGGGGGTGAAATTCCATATTCCCAATGTGTTTCTTTTTAAAGATCAACCTTTCACACCCCTAGCTCTCCTGCAGCAAGGTCCTCAGCATGTGTTGGAGTGGGGAAGTAGACTCCCATGCAAGCAAATGAGTAAAAGACCCAAAGAAAGAGATAAAGTATATTGCTATGGGAGAAAGATTTAGAGGAGGGTGCATGTGAAGAGATGAGTCACGTGAGTCAGAAGCAAGAGTGAAGAAGGTATTCTGGTGCTTGAAAGGAATACCAGAAGTACTTTTTCACACAGTAGCTTACTAAGTCAGGTTTTGTTATACTGGTCTGTGATCTCATCTGTTGTGGCAGAGAGGTTGTGTGATAGGAACACCCAGGTTTCTGATGATGGCTGAGATTTGCAGAGCAGTGCATCAGTTTTCCCCACAAAACAGTCCTCCATGATTGCTCAAAATCTTTGAGTAAAAAAACTTTGGTTTTTTTTCCCAGCTTCTGCTCGCAGAGAAGGATTGACTCAGAACTCCAGGTGAGGAATCCCAAGAGTTCCTTCAAGTATGGGACAAAGGAAGAAGCAGCAGCAGTGACTTCACACCATCACATTCCCGTATCAGGCAAAAAGGAGAGAAGAGGGGGCCTTGGTGAGAGAACAATCCACTGAAAAGGGTATCTAAACATCTGTGAAAGCAGATTGTGGTGATACACCTGCAAGCTGAGATGAATGAATGCTTCTGAGAGCATCTGCTGCTGAGTCTTTATCTCTTCCTTCCATTTCTTGCTGATCACTAACTGTGAGATCTTTCTGTAAGACAAAAGATCTTTACTGCAGCTGTTCTTCCTAAAGTCCAGGTTTGAACATGAAGTCTAACTTGCTCAGCCATCCAGTCTGGTAATAGCCAAGATTCCACGCTTTCATCACATGGCAACCATCACCAGAGAAAAACATTAGAACATGCAACTGGAGATGTCTGTGTTGGTTGCCATCTTGAATTTTGGCACACAGCCATAGAAATTAACAGTTTAAATAAAGTCATTTCATTTGTTTGTTTTGGTTATAATTTCAGTTATTAATTCACACACCCAAAATATTTGCTCTTATTATACTGGACAGGATTTTAAAGCTGTCTTTGTTTCACTGTAGGATACTTGTATTCTGTGTGGTTTATTTCTGTATTTTGATTTCTGTTTGTTTAGACTTTGTAAACTTTTTTAATTGGCTGAAGTTTGCAGACCCAGGCTTGAACCCTAAGGCCCAGGTGGCTCTTATCAGTTGCAATAGTGTCTTGGTGAAGCACTCCAGTTAAAATTTGCCTGATGTTGTGAAAATTAGTTTGCTTGTGTTAGAAAACAATGTCAGCAGCTGGAATTTGTATTGGAGAGAAGATCCATCTATCCTTAAAATGAACAGGAAGCAGCTTCAGCTCTGGCTCTTTGTTGGTGCCAAGTTAAAGGAAAACTTAGTATTTTGCAACTTCTGCCTTGTCCAACAGCAAGGGGTGTGATTGATAGTTCTCAAAGGTAAAAAATGTTCTGTTGCTTGTATCAGAGTCTTCAGAGATTGGATTCGACATTCAGTTTGATCTCTCTTTTTAATCCACTTTCCCCTGTCTTTTGTAGTTTGTATAGTCAGTGTTAAGGGATCATTCAAATATGTTGACAAGTAGATAGTGATCAACCCAAAGGACTGACAAAAGAAACTGTATCAGAGAGGGAAGGTGTTTTCTCTTGAAATTATTATGTTCATGTTCACTCTTGAATTCCACATATTTTCTGTCACTCAAGACCAGACAAATTGTGAGAAGGTTAAAGAATTATGTTCATATCTTATTAGTTTCACCATCATTCACTTCAGTCATGAATTAATAGGACAGAACATGCATTTTTCTGTTTCTGGTACACGCACACATATGACACACTGAACACTTGTCTGAAGTGCAGCTCTCTGATACAGCTGTTCCCTTCCTTAGCTTATCTTTCATTTCCATTAAACAGTCATGATCACATCCACTTTCTTCACACTTTTGTTGGCTCATGATTAGTGAAAGTGTAGCTGAGAAGTTGTTACTTCAGACTTGTGTACATTCTTAGCAGCTGTGGGCTTCAAGACCTTAGGTCTGTCTTCTCACAGCCTACTCTGCTATGCATGGTATTGGCTGTTGCCTCCAGCTCAGTCAGAGGGACTATTTCCATGTAAGATTGAGCTTCAGTAAATAACAATTCCATTCCTTTCTTCTTCCCAAAGGATCTGAGTTATCCTTATTCCACTGGGTGTTATGTACAGGATTGAGTAGCTGTAGGATAGACATCCTTATGGACCTCTCATCTCTGCTTTTGTTTTCTAGTTTGTTTGTTCAGGTTATTACAGCCAATACTGAAAATTGTAGAGAGGTTTGTAGGATAAAGATTTAGTTAGCTCAGGAAAGGTGATTGTCTTATAGGAATCATTGTCAGAAGCAACAGTCTTGCATCTTTGTCAAGAAAATTACCAATTAGTGCTGGCTTATTATGAACACAGGTGAATTGTGTTGTCAGCTTTGCCAATTTCACACCTACTCATTTTGGGATAATGATTTGAACTTGGTTACAGACATTTTTCCTGAACTTCTTTGTATTGCATGTTACATGTAGCCACCCCCCACATCTGTAACTGTGATTACTTGGTAGCAGTATATTAAATATCCTGTCTCTGAGATTTTTTAAATATTCAGGAAAATAGACAGTGCAGTCTAAGACCCTTATTTTGAAGGGGTGAATTTTGTCAGGAGCAGCGAGGACTTGAATACTTTTGCCTGAGAAAATTTTTATCCTGCTTCCGACAAAAAAAAACAGCCCAGGAGTATCAAGACTGGTCCTTTACCTGAAGCCAAGCACCTAGACCATGAATTCCTATTTATTCTCAGGATGTGCTCAGCCAGAGCATCAAATGACATAGCAGTATTCCTTTGTCTTGAGCATCTGCTGATCCCATCTCTGAACACAAATGCTGATACACTGGGAACATGTGCAATAGAGAATCAGGAACAAATTCTGCAATTCCTGGCTTATTTTTTCCACCCCATGTATTCTTCAGCCTGGAGTCCGTATGTCTTTGTGCATGGTGGGTGCTGTGCACTGAAGAGTAGCATGTATTTTGTCTCTTAGCAGCTCTGCTACCTCCATGTCTGTCCCTTTCCATAAGCCTCTTAATGCTGCAGTTAAGAGATTCACTGGTGAAGCATAGGAGTGTTTCCCACCCATCTTGGGAGAAAAAGCATTTTACAGGAAGTATTTTCTACTACAAGGGAGAGAAGTAGAATAGTAAACCGTTTTGGATATATAATAGTTGCACAAGGGGAGTAGAGTTACGTGTTCCTCACGTGTGGTTTATTTTTTCTCTGTATTCATCAATGGTTCCATCAGAAGTGTCCTTCACTGCAAGACAATTACTGAGAGAAAGTCCCAGCAATCATTCAGAATCTCAGTGGTGACAGTGAATAATGTAATCAAAGGATCCCCCTCTTCTGTGATCTTTGTATCACTTCTAAATTACAGAGCCTTTTCGAGTGACAGAGAATCAGGCTTGTTAGGCTTGAAAGCAGTAATGTGCACATCAGAGTCCTGGAGGCTGAGCTAATGAAGAGTTCATACGGCAGTTCTGCTCTGTTTTAGGTGATGAGAATATCGTGACAAAAATTAAGGGCAGAGTTGTTAAATTCTCTCTTTTCCAGAAGAGCTGACTTGTGCTCTATACGTGAAGTATCAAGTTTCCTTTTCACATGTTTTATCTTGACCTTTAAAACAGCCTCACAAGGCTTGTGAGTGCCATCAATGGGACATCATGTTGTGACCGTAGACAAACCACTTAGTCTTGGATGCCATCAAGATGTACTGAAATATCGATTCTCAAGACCAGGTATGTTTTTGGACAATTATGATTTCTTGGAAATGCTCCTCATTATGATGCCTGCAAGGTCAACAGGTCTATCTCTGATACTGGTTCCACATAGTGGAAGGACGTTTTGGTATGGAGACCTTTGTTTACTAGTAGGAATCTCAGTGCTGTGCCTTTTCCTCATAACAGATACTCTCCATATGCATGGAGTTGAATGGCTGGCAGTGCTAGACCATTCTTCTTTACCTGAGGAGCTCATTGGTGTACAGATGGCTTTACAGAGAACAGCCTTGGATTCTCAGCATGCATTCTCTAACACCTGTACCCTGTACTAATACAACACTTCCTGTAATTTTGGATTATTTGCTGAACCAAAAGTAGTCTGTCTCCCATTTTATTTTTTAAGATTTACTTGATGAAACTGCCTAAGACTTTTTACCTCAGTCAGTTCTCTATTTGCTGATAATCCTGGGCTCACTGTTTGAATCTGAATGGATTATTTGCTGGCGTATAAATAGTTGGATTTTTTTGGTTGCAGTTAAGTGGCTGATTGATCCTCTTCAAATGATTTCCTTTCTGAACATATTATTCTCATGGTTCTGTCATAAGTTTCTTCCAAAAGAAGCTTCTGAGCTTTACTTAAATCTGGGGCTGGGCTTTTTTTTTCTTCTACACCCTCATGTTTCTAGAGCTGAGACATCTTTATTTACAGCAAACATCAGGAGAACCTTATTTACCTTTACAGAACTGAGATTGCTTATACCAAGAGCTTAACATTCATAGTTTTCTTCATGCAGAAAGTGGTTAATTGGAAAAGAGATGAGCACGGGGTATGTAAGGGAGAAGCTGAAAAAGGAGTAATAGTTCACAATCATGCCTACTAGAAGTAGGAGCATCAAATGAAACTAACAGATACAAGTTTCAAAGAAAAAAAATAAAGAAATTGGGAGGAGATAGCAACTTTTTTTCCTCAGTACATACTTGACCTGTGGAATTTCTTCTTACAAGATGTGAATACAAAAAAGAGTATGTGGTTTGAAAAGGCAAGTAGACAAATCCATGAAAAATTAATCTGTTAGGGCATATGAAATATTAAAACTGGAAACCAGGAAGTTTCTAAGACTTTTCAAATTACTATTCTGGGGAAGTCTCACAATGGGCTGTTCCAGTTTTTAACTTGTGTATCAGGCATGGGCTGTTGACCTCTGTCCAACAAGAGCTAGGCTAGGTGGTCTTGCAGTCCAGCATTGTATGGGTTTTTTATTTTGACAGTTGCAGTACAGGCTACTAGAACAGCCAGGACAAAGCTACTTTCATGACAATGGCATGTTCCACCAAAATTCATCATGTGGTCCTTGAGTTTTCTCAAGAAAAGTGTCTGTTGCTGACATATGCCAAGTTGTCACATGCAAATTATGTATGCTTTCACCTGGCTGAGCACTATATATTGCAGAGGCTTTCAGAATGATGAAACTTTTAAAAACACATAAAGGACACCAAGATCCACCTCTAGACAAATTGGGATTTTAGAGGAAAGTAGGTTGCTGTATGGAAGTCATCCATAATATAATCCTTGTAAATGGTTAATGGTGTAAATATGGAAAAAAACCTTTCCACTAAGTGAAACTTTTAAATTATCTTATTCATACACATTTTGCTTCTTGCCATCTTTGTTTTCTAAAGAGCTCGAGTTCAGAGCACCTTCAAGGTGAATGTGCACAACCACAGCATGTCTTAAGGAACCTGGTAACTTGTCCTTCCCACTTTAGAACACTGTTGTCCTTTTCCAAAGAATGAAGTTTCCCTGCTGACTTAGAGATGAGTAGTTAGGAAATGCAGACTGATCTCAAAATTGTTGGATTCTGAGTCTTCCTCTGCAGTTGTAATGCAAGAGGACAACTCCACTGAGCTGAAGGTGACAAGTAACACCAGTCTGCCCTGAGGAGTCTGCTCTATTAACTTACCAAAAAAGGATTTTATTGGCTCTCATTGAAAAGGAGTTTCCACTGCTGTTTTGAGTTAAAAGAAAAGAATCACTGATCACTGTGGAGACCCTGGTATGAAGCCTTTGCCAGTGGTATTCAGTGAATCATTGTGGTTCCCAAGGGAAAAGACTATACTTAACAGGGCCTCTTCTCTCCAAGTCCACGCCTACAGCACAGACAGTGAGCTTGAGAAATCT